GATCGGGATTGGCATTTCCTTGATTAAAAATAACCAAGAAATAATTTATCAGAAAAGTATATTTCGAAAACTTATTTGTTATGCATTGAACGGCGTTGTTTATATATCCGTGTGTGTTCATAACAAAACGGTGAATGAATAATTGTCATGATTTATCAATGATTTTTGAAAATCAGCTCTTCTCCCATAATCGCAATAAAATCTGATATAATCATCGATCTTTTAAAGGAATACGATAAATCACGATTTTACGCCAATTTTTTAGAAAATCGCGAAAATCGCGGTGATTCTCACGACATGGGAACTGAATCAAAGTTATTTCGTCGATTTCTTTGAAGACTTCTTTGAGAAAATTTCAGAAAGATCCAAATATCTCAATAGATAAATCTTTGATAAGACTAACAGTGTTAATGGATACTGAAAACAACATACCCTATTACGTGTTAGAAGTAAATTTGACGTAAATTTAAGATTGTTATGAGATATCGTTGACTGAAATGAACAGAAAGAAAGATTAAGAATAACTTGCTGCCGTTCATATAAAGGTTCCCATAGAAGTTTTGATTTCATATCAACGATAAAGTATCACTGTACAAGTTATCTCTATACTAAAAAAGACTTACAATAAATGCAGAGTATTTCAAAATGATAACATGTAAATGATGTTAGCTTATCGACGAAGCAAATTAAGAGGTTAGGAATGTGTTCCATAGAACTATATATACCGGGAGGAATAGCAAATATCTTCAACTGATAAACGTATTTCTCTGTGCAAATAAGCAATGTTGATCAAGCTCATATCTATTTATTTGAATAAGCTTGGTGAGACTAATACATATGTAACTTTGGCATTGTTCAATTCTCTCTAAATAAAATTAAAGGTATTTTGAATACAAATAACTACTTATTTTTTGAAGTAACATGTTAGATTGAATAGTTTAAATTATAGAAAAGTTTTTCATGTTTATAAACAGAGGACTATCTCATGTAGAAAATGGAATTGATAAAAGTCTTAACTATTGAGATTGGAAGTATATGAAAGCAGAAATCCTTATTCTTATTACTTCCTATTGGTCTTTTTATTTTCAAAACTTTTTTTTTTGACTAAAGTAGACTTGAGCATACGATGATGCAAATGAAGTTCTCTCTGATAAATCTTCGCTTTGAGTAAGATTGATACAAAAAGTAGAACATCATTCATTTAGTGACACATAGTATACAGTTTAAAAGGTGTCCAATGAATGAAAGGAATGTGAGTGTGAATCTATTCTTCATCTAAGTTCACATTGATACCTTACTCATTTGTATCTGAGTAGATGTGAGTGCAAGTTTGGAATTATACCGACATCCACCCACACCCGCAGAAAGAATTTCACTTAAGTTCTTTTTTGAGATAACCTTGTATCATATGAATTGAGAAATGATCCGATTTCTCTCGTAACGCAAAATTTATTAAATATATCTCTTTTATTTCTTGGTAATATTTGATCAGCTTTATTCAAATGAAGTTTCTTTAAGCGACGCATGACTGAATTTCATGCTGTTCTACATAAAATTGAAAGTCATCTAACATATACTATCGATAGTTTGTGCATTCATAAAACTTGATCTAAAGCAACAACTAAAAACATATTCTACAACCTCTTGAAAACTTTCGAAAGATACTATTATAAGTTATGTAACTCATCTGTTGCTATCAATTCTTGAAAAAGTAAAACAGATCAAACCTTGACTTTTGTTTCAGAAGTGAATGACTATCTATTGAACAATAAAAAAATAAAATAAAAAGTTCATTAGAATCAATTGAACTCAACTAGGATCATTTTTTTTTGCTCTTAAACATATAAAAATTGACACCTGAATCTTGTTTAATATTCGTCTCAGTAAGATGTATTAGTAGGTTAGCGAATAAACTTTAGATGGTCATTTCATTTGCGCTTGAGTGTTTGATCTCCGAACTGAAAACTAAATATATGGGTGAGGGAGATTTTGCCAACAATTTACTACATTTCTCAACAGTGCATCTCTATTTTACATTTCTTTCTTTTTATTTGTAAAGTATTTGAATACATTCAAATGAGTTCTATCTTTTAAGATTCGTTAAGATTGATATAACAAAAAAAAATTCTGGGAAATCTATCTACTCATATATAAAAAGTAAAATATTTGCAATCGTTGCCAAACTGTTGCAGCATAACACAGAACAAACGTTTAAACTATTTGAATGTATTCAGTAAATTATGTCATGTTTTGAAGCACGAGAAGTTTGTTTTTTCAATAGGACTTGACGAATTCTCTTAATCAGAAAAATTAAAGAAATGTGTAGTCTTTAACATGAAATTACAAAAAAAGAGTATGAGAACATCATAAACTTATGACTGTCAATATTTTGAACATATTGCCACCATATACATAAATGTGGCAGAAAAAATTAAACTTCGATTTTGAAAATTAAACCTATTAAACTAAACTGAGCTTGATGCTATTAGTGATTCGAGCAAAGAGTTAATTCTTCAAATTTTAGCAATTTACTTCAAAAGTACACAATAAATTTGAAGCACAGGATCCGTGGACTTTCTTTTCTATTCGAGTTATCATTATGCTCAGAAAGACTTGGAGTTCGCTAGTCTTTTTCTTCTGAAATAGTCATTAGATTGAGGAAGATATAGAGTCTGATGGTTATTGTTGAAATTCGATAATCTTAATCGAAAATATGTTTACTATAGAGTGGTTTCGAACACCACAAGTGGCAACCTTCTTCTTATTACAATCTGGTAAATTCATGAGATGTTAATTATGTTCCAGTTGTAGTATATCTAGTTATTTCTTTAAAGTGTAAAGACATAGTATAAATTCAATGAAAGATGGAGCAGAGAACAAACTACCAGAGATTAATAGATAGATATCACGAATAATTGTTCATTTGGGTAATAAGCTATTGTCTTTAAGATGTGAGTGGGTATGCATATGTCTGTGCATGTGCGTATAGGTGAGTATGGATGTGGGTCATCATGTCTTTTCACTCACGCCCACACCCTCCTTTTTAAATTAAACTTTGTTATTATAGAATCAGAAAATCTTCGTAGATTACAGCAGCCCGATACAAAGAAAATTGTATGAATGTGATTGCGATTAGAAATTAGATTTACATCCATTCTCACGGATCACATCCGTATAAAGTGGCTTTTGAGTCACCCTCGACAATTTTTTTGCTATTGATAGAATGAATTCTTAGTCTTTATCATGGAACTTCCATTATTGTCAGTCATACTAAGTGAGTAATCGAATAAGTACTTCTGATAAGATTTATCGTTCAAGTGTCGTCAAAAAACAGAGAAGAAAAGAAATCTCATGTGGTTCTTTCGATATGCACTGCATAGTAATTCAGTATCTGATTTGTCTCATCGATATTCGACTCTTATGTTAAACCTACTTTTTGCATTTAAAAGTATCACTTTTATTAGCTGAGATAACATTCTATCGTTTAATATCGACATCACGATTCTTCAAACAGTGAAGTTGTTAATAAGAAAAGCTCGTTGTTTTTCTAAAGTTAAATGCTATTTTTGAATGAACATTGTAAACTTCTTCTACATATGACTTACATGCAAGATGTTTTTCTCAAATGAAAAGTTTTTATTGTCGTAATATCGCGTTTTATCTTTATGATATTATAAGTGATTGTATACAATATGAAATTACAAATGAAAAATGTCTAATTTAAAGAATAGAAATGAACCACATATGAATATTAGAGTCGTCGAAGTAGTAAAAAATTTAAGATTTGAAATAAATTTCAGAAAAGTAAAATCAGAATCATACATTTGTAAAATAATACAATATTTCAAAAGCAATTCGAGCTCAAGCTAGAAGCCAATTATATGAATGTGAGATCCGGTGAAAGTGAAGTTCTTCGGCTACAACCACATTCAGATTTATGAAAAAAAATAGACTTTTTTTCTATGACTTTCTTGTTCATTTGTTGTTTATGAACAAGGTAGAAATAATTAAATTTTCGAAAAAGTCACTATCAGAATTGCTAGATCTTCCGATGTGGCAAGAAAAATTTCGATTTTTGAAACTTTTCCGACGTTCGAATTTTTCTCCGATTTTTAGAGTCTTTTCTGTAAATTCATATCCTTAAGATATTTAAGAGTAGTTTAACGATGATTTTTTAAAAACTCTGTCTGAAATCTATTGGTTTACTATATTAATAATTAGCAACTCTTTTCCTTGTTGAAGTTTTTTTTATCATTGAAAACATAATAAAACTAAACATAATTCTGTGAACATCAGAATGAGTTCCGTTTATCTCTGTAGACATTTTTATGAATATCTGTTACCTAATAAGGAAGTATAAACAAAAATGAACATTATACAGAATAACTCTTAGTTTCTTTAGTACATGTTTTATCAAAATACATGTGTGTATAAATTTTTAATGGTAATCCTTTTCCTCTTGGAAAATTTCATGAAAAAAAAACGATTTTACTTGATAAAAATGCATCACGAACAAAAATCAATTAAAATCAATCTTCATCTGATTTTATCTTTAATGCTTTACATCAGTGTAATTGAAAATTAGTGTAAAAAATGTAATTTTGATGCAACTCATGTTTTTCTATGGAATCCACTAAAACTATTCTTTTTTTTACTGTAATTTTCTAAATGATTCTACAAATAAAATAAGAATCTCTCTCGATATCCTGATAAATCTTATATCGTTTGAATCGTTACTACTTTAGTCTGTTCTTTATTTCCAAAAAAATCTATTCGAAGAGTGTAAAAAAAAACCATAGATTTCTACTGAAAAAATTTTGCATTTTCGAATTCTTTTTCTTTTTTTTGTGTAAGAAAGAAAAAATAAATAAAAAAATTCCTTTTCTTTCTCTTCGTTTTAATTTAGAATAAACATAAGATATTATCGAAAAACCACCAGTTTGATGTTAGAAACTAATACTTTTTCTCGTGTATGAGAGACAAAAGAAATCTCTTCGATAATGATGATTCCTATGCTTTCTCTTCTGCTCATTGTAGTTATTCCTAATATTCCAATCGATGCTCGTTGGTCACAGAGTGGAAAGACCGTTGCTGGAGGGAATGGACAAGGCTATGCTACAAATCAACTCAACCGGCCTCAAGGTCTCTTCGTTAATAATGATCACACGATGATCATTGCTGACTACAAAAATCATCGTATCATCCAATGGAAGATGGATGATAACAATGGACAAGTTGTCGCTGGTGGAAAGGGACTAGGAAAGCGATTGGATCAATTTAGCTATCCAAGTGATGTGCTGATCGACAAAGAGACTAATAGTCTCATTATTTGCGATCCAGGGAATCGACGAGTCGTAAGGTGGTGTGGGTGTGGGTTGGGGTGTGGGTGTGGGTGTGGGT